AGCAATGAGAGAGTTTCAAACCAAATTGGTAGGACAGTTTCAATAATTAACACATTGCATACATTCTTCCTAGTGGTTAATTGCTGTACAAGATGCAGGCATGATATCCTATTTACAAACACATTAGAACAAATCCCTCTATTCATTAAGAGAATGTAACTACATATCTATCCTAACCATTTTGAATACACAGATACAAAATGGACATTCATCTGTATCCCCCTTTCTTGTTTAGTTCCATTATTTGAATATTATAGGTGTGTTAACTCAGCAAAATATTCTAAAAGAGCAAAGAGCACAGTCATTTGTTTTATTCTTTTTTTTTTTTGGCGGAACCAGGGATTGAGCTTAGACCCTTGCGCTTGCCAGGGAAGCACTTATTCCGCTGAGCCATCTCCCTAGTCCCAAATCTTATTTTCTCTGTTAGGGTTAAATAGTTTGACTCACTCTGTCATTCTGCAGTAGAATCCATTTGATGAATTTTTGTACTTTAGATATTTTATTTTTCAGTTCTGTAATTTTGTTAAAAAGAACCTGCTTGTTTCTTTTGTACTTTTTCTGCTGATAGTCCTGTCTTGCTTCATTTTGAGACTATTTTCCATCTTATCATTAAAGATAATTATAGTTGTTTGTTTGTTTTGAAACAGGGTTTTGCTATGCAGTTCAGTCTGGCCTTGAACCTACTTTGTAGCCTTGGTCTCAAACTCATGGTGATCTTGTCTCCCAAATGCTGGGATTATAGGTATACCCCACCACCCCCAGCATGGTAGTTATTTAACGCTCTGTTAATAAGACATCTGTGTCAAACTGGCCAAATAGCTTAGTGGATTAGAGTGCCGGCCCTGCCCCCAGGGTGCACTGAGACAGCTGTTGAGACTGGATGAGGTGATGTGCTCCTGTAATCCCAGCATTTGGGAGGCAGAAAACAGGAGAAAAAAACAAAATTTTCAGCTGATAACAGGTTTATTTATTCACTTGTCAAACACACAGTTGAAAATCTTGTGTAGGGAAAGACATCAGAGGCCTATATACAATTATAGAAATTCTTATTTTTGTTTGGCTTGATTTCTTTTTTGCTATGTTGAGTAGTTCTAGACTTTATCCTGGACATTCCTGAGTGTTGTTAAATGTCTAGATTCTGTTGTATTTCACCAAAGAGTGTTGATTTATTTTGTTGTGTTTTATTTTGCTTTGTTGGAGGAGGCAGTTAATTTGGTCACAAAGTCTTTTTTATTTATTTATTTATTTATTTATTTTGTGTGTGTGTGGCCAGCTCAGCCCACCAGGGGGCGGGGCTGGCTGGCATGTGGTGCTGGGGGATTGAACCACGGTCCCTGTTGCTGTGCTTTGCTTAGTTTAGCTTGTTCTAAGTGGGTGCTTTAGACCACTGAGCCATCTCACCAGCCCGGTCACAAAGTCTTATCTCTTGCTTGGCATCTCAAATCTCACGGTAGTTCTTTCGTCCTTTACTAGGTGCTCTGACTACCATGGATACTTGTGGCAATGGATTTAGCCAGGGATCTGAGTGATGCTTGTATGTAGGAGTTAGGGGTACCCCACATGGGCATTATTCATTTTTCCTCATTTTTGAGCAGTGGTGGTTATCCCAAATGTTCTCTAGTTCTTCAGGCAAAAAGATTGAGGTGGAGTTTAGCACTGATTGCTGTCAGCCTGTGGGAGCTCCCAACGTGGGAAATCTATACCATGCAATCCCTTCTCGGGGCTTTCCCTGTAGAATTTGACTCTGCTGTCTTTAAGTAGTTACTTTGCCTAAAGTTTGTAGGCTGTTTTGATTTTGTTGTATTGAGGCGAGGTCTTGCTTTGTTGCCCAGGCTGGTCTGTGGTCCATCCCGTCCCTGTTCCTATCCCTGACCCCAGTCTCCTAACTGGATGGCTGGGACTACAGGCCTGTGCCAGTGTACCTGGATGAGGTTGTAGTTTTTAAATTTGTAGAGGGTCTTTCTGGTCAAAGCTTTATTAGCTGTATCAGACTTGAGAAGCAGCTGAATTTTCCTTTCTTTGAAGGTGAATTTTCTCTAACCTTTTTGACCTGTTCTTTTGTTCTCTTTAATATATAACCAGTATGAAATATTTGATGAAAAAAACTTTATTACAGTTTTTTGTTTTGTTTAAGAGACAGGATCTCAACTGTCCTACCAATTTGGTTTGAAACTGTCTCATTGCTATTTGTTTCTCAATAAAATTATGGAAAAAAAAAAAGAGAGAGAGAGAGACAGGATCTCACTATGTAATTCTGGCCAACCTTAGAGTCACAGTGTAGCCCTGGCTGGCCTCAAACTCGCAGCAATAATTCCTGGCTCATCCTCCTGAGAGTGCTGGGATTATGGGCATGTGCCACCAAGCTGGGCAAGTAGTATAGTTTTTATTTTTAAAAATGCTTTTGAGGCCAGTGAGATAGCTCAGCGGACTAAAGCGCCTGCTTAGGCAAGCTTAGGTACATGTGGTGTTCAATCCCTCACACCACATGTAGTGCCAGACCCGCCCCAGAGAGGGATGAGCTGGCCAGAGTCTGGGCATAGTGGCACATACTTGCAATCCCAGCACTAGGGAGGCTGAAAGCAGGAGTATCACCATGAATCCGAGCTGCGTAGTAAGACCCTACAACAACCAAATACATTAAAAAATAAATAAAAATGCTTTGGGAGCCAGGGAGATAGCTCAGTGGCACAAGAGCCTGCCTGCCAAGTGTAAGGTCCTGAGTCAAATTCCTGGTACTAAAAAAGTAAAACAAGGGGCCAGGGAGATGGCTCAGTGGATTAAGCGCTTCCCTGGCAAGTGCAAGGGCCTGAGTTAAATCCCTGTTTCCACGAAAAAAAAAAAAAAAAAAAAAGCACTTCTGCCATTTTTCTTCAGAAAAGCTGCCAGGCCACCACTTCCAGGACAGGAGGACTGGGT